ATTCATTTTGAAGAAAATTACAGGTAGTTCTAAATTAGCCACATCTTCATTAAACTCTTTGATGGGTAACAGCTGGAAAATCCTTTAAAAATACAATTCACAAAAACACTTCTTTGCTTTGATGTGATCCTTTTTAAAGCCACTTTAGGAAGCCAAACCTTGACAAGTCCCAGACAGACTTGGAAGGTGGGTCTCACCAGAAGGTCTGAAATTAGTAGTGACAATGTTTAGTCCTAGCTGAGAGAATTTTGTAGTTTCTCAGATTTATAAAACCATATTAGTACAATTCTTGAGCTGCAAAATCAACCTATTTCCAGTGATTGAAAGGCACTCATCTCAATGGAAAAATTGTGTTTGATATCGGCCCATAACAATAAGCATAGGATATCATTGGCTTCCTTGTTTAGCAGTTTACAAGGTACCAGGTGGCTTAAAACACTGCTTCAAAAACTGTGGGTTCCCACAATGTTGCTCAATGTTGGAATCTTGAAAAAATTGGCATCAGCAAAATGTTTCTGAATGCCACCCATTTACACAAATCTGTTTGCAACAATGTGCAGTGTTTGCAGTAGTCTCTGCAGAAAATGCTTCAGTTGTACTCCACAAAAAGGAAAAGCAACTTGTTTAGCAAGACTTGCCAATGCTGATTTATTGATCAGTAAATGTTTGGTTTTTATACCTGTTTAAATACCTATATACCCGAGGCCAGGCCCGTAGCCAGGATTTCGTTTTGGGGGGGGGGGCTGAATTTTTTTTCAGGGGGGGGGCGGGGGGGCTGAGTTTCGGGGGGGGGGGCAGAGTCTGAGTTAAAGAGGGTCTAGCCTAGCAAACCTTTTGTATCATTACCCCAATACCCCCATGCATATGGGATATATTGAGTATGGTGATCAGATCATGATATGAATAAACATAACAGTTTAATAATGCACCAGTAAGGCCTTTTCGCGAACCACCATGAGAATTTCGGGGGGGGGGGGGGGGAAGCTACATGCCTGCCCGAGGCCATGTAAACATTTCTAAGGTGAAAAGGGATTATAAGTGGAAAAGGATTAAGAAGCCCTGGCTTAAAACAAAAATTAAACAGAATATATTATTATTGTTATTGTTATTATTATTATTTAACAATCAATGAAACTATCCAACCAGAATGTCATGCATAATGTAATTTGTTTTTAAACTTCCCAGATACTGGGAGCAGGGGGCAGCAGCCACCAGGAAAGCTTTCTGTGATGGAGAAAATAAAGCAGCTTTATTTCACTCACCTTTTCACCCCGACTCCCCTCACCCTACGAGTTTGAGCTGAAAATTCTCAGTTGAAAACTTTCAGCATGTTACTGAAGCAGCTTCATTCAGTTTTATTTATCGGAGCTGCAGGGAGACTGAGCTGAAGAAAGCCAAAGAACTTGTAGCTCTCAAGTGAGGGCAGAGCTTATATGAGTTGATTCTAACATAGTGAATGGAGACTAATATGTTGCTATTGTTTTAAACCACTGTAAATTATACCTCCCTGCCCCAACACTTTTGGCTGTGTGCTGACCCATAGCAGTTGCTCAGGAAGGTCTACGTAGGTATGTCCAATATAAAAATGCACATGAAACATAGAACCTAATGGTTTAGGAGAATTGTTTGGAGGAAAAAGCAATGGGGTGATATTTTTCCAGTTAGAAGGCTAAAACCATTGACCCATCTTTGTTGGTGTGTGGCAGAAATAATCCCCCTTCTTGAACAAAAACCCTTATGTGCGTGGGAAACTAATGGAAGTCAGTTTACTTCTCTGGAATTTCTACAAAGCATTACCGTTATGTGACTCTGATCTAACATACAGCAGTAGTGTGTATGGATTATCCCTTTCTGCTGGCTGCAGGCCATAGAGGATATAATTTAAATCCTAATGATACCATGGCTAATGAAGATTGCCCTTTAGCTAACAAATGCTCAACGTTAGCACCATCCTCTGGATGCGCAAGAATGAATGTCTCCTTGTGCTCATCCATGCAAACGGAAAGATCCAGAGGGCTCCCAAGTTCATCCGTTCAGTAATTGTGAATTAAATAGCATAGAGGAATGGTTCTTTTGGTTGGAAAGAATTATTCCAGTTCATCTTTCTGTTGCTACTCTCACAATGATTTAAGATGTCTTTAGTGATATGAATGTATTAGGCACTATGTAGACTACAGTGATAACAAGATCCAGCAGCAGGAAATATTTTTCAGAGAGTGGTAAACATACCACTTCCATCCTACCAACACTTCACAGATGAAAACTTGAAACAGAGTGTGATCAAAAAGATGTGGCCTTGCAACTTGGAAAAGCACCCCCAAACCCTGCTATCTTATGTATGTATGTATGTACATACAGTATTTATATCCCACCCTTCTCACCCTTAAGGGGACTCAGAGTGGCTTACAGAACACACATACTGCAAACATTCAATGCCGATTATACAATAACAAGGAGAAACCATTTACTGCATTTAATAAACCTGGAAAAGGGGGGATAAACGTCCCCTCTAGTCATTTCTTCTTCCTGCTAGCTGATTGAGTGAAAACTACTTTCAAAATTTGAATTCACTTGTAGCATCTGACTTCAGGTAAGGATAAGGAGAGAAAGGGGGGAGAAGGAGGAAGTCAGGACATTTTAAAAGCCACTTAGAAAATTGAATGGTAGAGGAGTAATCAGGATTGCCTTTGCCAAATTGGGAACATTTGTAGTATGTGGAACTGAGACTGCTTCAAATAATGGAGCCAAAGATTTCATACGCCCCCCCCCCCCACTCTGTCTATTTTATATCCCACCTTTCTCCCAGGATGGGATCTAAAATGACATAAAACTAATATAAAAATGCAGCTAAAACATGATAAAACAATTCTATTTTTAAAAACAAAGTTCAAACAGTTTTAAAGACATTTAAAAACAACAAAAAAGATACACAGAACACTCCATTAAAAGTCCCTTCTGCCTCATGAATTAAGAGCCGAAGGCCTGCCTAAATGAAATGCTCTTTAGTCACTATCAACAGTATTATTAAAAGTTAACTACCAGTGCAGTTATTCATTTGTGAGTTCATTACAACAATACAATTTCAATTGTTTCATGTAATTAAAATGTACTGTACATGGGCAATATGATAATGTAACACTTGCAATCATACAAGCTTCTTGCTTAGGAAAAGTTGGGCATTTTGTGTGTGTATGTGATGGGACATAAGGTTGATATTAGTGCTATAAGGCATCCTTCTTCTTCTCCCCCTCCACCTCCTCCTCCTTCTTAAACATCTTGTTATTGCAGCAAACTGAAAGTAGTCTTTCCTTGAGATCATCTGTTGAGCAAGTCCTTGGCTAAGAAGAGAATTGAAATGTACCAACTTGCTCACAGTTCACATGCTAAAGCAGTGCAGTTCTATTCAGTAGAATGACCGCAAAAGATATTACTGTTGTTTTATGTTTTGTTAGATTTTTACCTCTCCCTGTAGGACAGGGTGTAAATTTAGCCTCATCCACTTAAAATGTGAGGTAGATTAGCAGGAAAGAGAATAATCTGACTAGGAAAAACCAGTGAACTTCATAACCAAATAGAATGGTTCATTTCAAATCCTAGTCACTATTCTACAAATACGACATTCCCAAAGGATGTTTGTACATAACGGTAAGACAGGATTCTGAAGAACTTGGCAAAAACTAAAGTATTGCTCATGCTTGGCTCCCTTTTGCTGTATCATCACAATCCAGAATCTTGACTAGATACCCATTCCCAAGGCAAGGATCATAAACCATGTTTTTTTCCTTATCATTTGAATCCTGGCTTGTTTTGGGGGGTGGGGGAATAGGCCATGATCCTGGATTATAAATCATTTTTGGTTTGTTTACCTGCTTGTGCTAAAAGAAAAAAAATACCTCATAACCTCTGAGGATGCTTGCCATAGATGCAGGCGAAACGTTGAGAGAGAATGCCTCTAGAACATGGCCATATAGCCCGAAAAACCTAGAACAATCCAGAAAAAAATAGTGAACCGTGGTAACAGACTGTATGTGTCAACATATACTTCATTCACCATAAGACAAAATTTTGGCAAATGTTTCAGGGAGGAAATAGTAGATAGATAATCTGGAAAAAAAATGGTAAAGGAGTATGGAGACCTGTTGTTGTTCATTCGTTCAGTCGTCTCCGACTCTTCCAATTTGTCATAGTCACTGACATCTCATTCTTCTATTAGGTATTGTTTTATCCAAAACATTTATGTGCCACATGATCAAGATTTTTATGTATAGTTTTTTGCAAGTCTGGGTAATTATTCATATTGGAAAAGTCTTGATGTGACTTGTATGTTGTATCGTCTTAAGTGTTGTATCTTACGTGGTATCAAGATATCTTTACTTAATGTTTATAAGTGCAAAGAATATCAGAATTGCTATCCACCTGTTACATATCAGTGCATATATGCAAGTTTGGAATGAGGGAAAGATTCAAATTAGTCTTGTTAATTTTATAATTATTTTATTTCAAGTAGAATTGAGGAAAAACACAGACCAAAGGGTATCCACATACTGGGAAAATATATCATGAGGAAACATAGGGCACATTTCTGGAGAGGTTGTGGGTGGGATTTGGGGGGTGTTGGGTGTTTTAAAATGCATTTTAATTGTTTTTATTGTATTTGGACTGTATTTTAATCTAACACACACAATACTGTTGTGTTTTAATTTTTCTATTCATTTTGCTTTAAATTGGTCAAAGTGTGTGACTGTTAGCTTCCTTGAGTTCCCTCGGGGAAGAAAGCAGGGTATAAATGAGGTAAATAAAATAATAAATATATTCATCCCATGGGTGTTATTGACCTCTAGTATTGTATCATGCACAATTTTGCTTGTTACTTTTTGTCTTAAGTTTAAGAACACAGAAAAAGATGACTTTGGGTAAATCTAAAAATACGTAGTCAAATATAAAGAGAGATTTTTCTTTTAAAGTGATTGTTCCTCTGTATTTTTGTTTGTGTTTCATAGGTATCTGGCCTTCAGAAGAAGTCCTAGCATACTACTGCCTCAAGCAACATGAAAAGTTCAGGTACAAAAACAACTCATAAAAGACCCTTTCTAATCCATTAGTTATATTTGCATAGTAAAGATTGCTATGATTTAAGTCATCAGATTGAGTTTTTTAAAAGTTCAAGGTGAAAGCATGTTGCTCTTAACAAAGAATTTGGAGCTGCCTTTGGGTACTAATATTGCACAGCAAGCTTTCTGCTATATGTCAAAGACTTTTGATTTCCACTCAAGGCGCTTTATTTCACTTTGATTTTTGGGAAACAAAAGTGAGGCACCAATCGATCAGCACTGATTGTGAAGGTCGGGGAAGGAGGGGAAAAAGGCATCCTTTGCTCTGACTTCTATTTTGAAAGTCAGCAGAGTTCTCTGGGAAGGTGGGGGATAATTTTTAATGGAGAGTCTTTCTGGCATTGCCTGAATGTGTTATGCCATTATGTTCTGTGTATTTTACATAGTTATGTACCAACAGTTACCAGACTTCACATCTAGTCATGCTGGTACAGCACAAAACACACAATAGACCAAGTTTATTGGCTTTGGTGGGCTGTAGAAATTTTCACTTGATGGATTCCCAGGAAATCTGTTGCTAAGGGACTATTGGGGGTCGGGGGAATCAATCCAATTTTTTGAGACTCTAATCTATCACCACTACCAATGCTCCTGTTCCTGAATGTACCAGAGTAGTGATGCGTTAAAACAACAAAGCAGATTGCCAAGACCATGCATTCTCTTGGCAGACAATGCAGTTTAGAGATATTGTATAGAGACAGCTGTGCCAACCCAGTTGCTATCTTTGTTACCAGTCCTGGCAGTCAAGGAACAGATACCTCACATGGGACCAAGGTGCTCCATGATTGGACTCTGAATAATTTTTGTGTACAAGATCTCTTGCAATTGTGGGAATTACCTTGCCAGCCGTCATTGTCACCGTCATCATCATCATCGTCTTCATTACATTAATTCCATAACTTCTAGAAACTTAGGAAGTGTTTTATGCTAATAAGACCATGGATTGCTCCATGAAAAACTGGATGGTCACTCTCTCTGTTAACAATGCCTCCTCTTCCTCAGATGTACTGGATGTTTTACAATAAAGCAAACCACACTCATATAGTTCCATAGTAGCCATACTTCTTCTGTAGTATATACCCTGCCTTTATATTTATCTTAATGTTCAGCCTGTATCCCCAGATTTTATTTTCCCTCAAGACATCATGTGTGGTGGCTATTATACCTGACAGAAGTGTGAGTGGATTATTAGCCCAATATTTCAACTCACCTTTGTGCAGAGACAACATGCTTGGTCCTTCCATTTCTACAACACTGCGGATTTAACCTTCCCATTATGCTAACATTTAATTGTGTTACCTGCTTATAGCAACCCCTGGTAGCGCAATGGGTCAAACCCTTGGGCCGGCAGGAATGCTGACCAATAGGTCAGCGGTTCAAATCTGGGGGGAGCAGGCTGAGCTCCCTTTGTCATCTCCAGCTGCCCATGTAGGGATATGAGAGAAGCCTCCCACAAGGATGGTAAAAATCAAACATCCAGGCGTCCTCGCAGACAGCCAATTCTCTCACACCAGAAGCGACTTGCAGTTTCTCAAGTCACTCACAAAAAAAACCCTGTTTACAAAGCAAACTCTATATATTGAACATATAGAGTCATTCAGCTATTGAAGTTTGTATATCTTTTGCTTTTTCTCAGATGATATTCCAATCTTAGTAGCAAGGTAGCTATGTGGACTACTCCATCCATATTCATTCAGCACTATGCTGTTGAAATGAATGTTTGCAGTGTCATTGTTTTTGGAAGAAAAATTCTTCAGCGTCTCCCTAAGAACACATGAGTCTGCATTAAACCAGGTCTTATTATCTATCCATCTAGTCTAGTATTACATATCACACCAGACATCAGTGTTCTGAGATCTCAGCCAAAAGCCTTTCCCATCATATGCTGTCTGATCCTTTTTCCCACCGATCAGCAATATCAGAGAAACTCAGACATTCTGCAGGCAAAACAAGGGTTCTGCTACTAGGTTGTGCACCTTTCTGTGTGACTTCTGCTATCTACTTCCTCAAAAGTTTGCTTCCCCAAGTGGACTCATGAAAAACAGCAAAGAATGTATTTAGAAAGATCACCCCATGGAGTCAGTTGCCTGCTTTCTGTATGGCTAGTGTATCTTTATATATTAATTTTCTGGTAGGAAAGACAAACCCTAGCAGAAAAGGAATAGACAAACTTCCAAACTTGCACAACATGGTCAGTGTTCCTTCCTGGAGATGGTAGACAAGAGAAGAATCGGTTTCCTCATTAGGGTTCAAAAACCTTTGCAAAGTATTATATAAAAAGCCCCTCACAATAATGCATATCAACCAAAGAGCAAGTCTGTGTTTACTATGGAGTTCAAAACTTCAGTTACAAGTATACAACATTTTGACATACCTTTAACCAATGCTAGAAATATCTTCTTTCACACTCCACTATCTGAAATGACATATTTGAAGACAATGGAAAACTTGTGGATTAATATATGCAGAAAGAGAATTGTAAAGAGAAAAAAACCTTTGTTTAATGAGAAATTCAATATTTAGTACATACAGATTTTTCATCTGTGCACTTAGGAAGTTGTCTCTTTGTATGAGAAAGTAGGGAATCTCCTTTCAACATAGAGCTTTGAACGACAATGCCCCAGTGGCCTGTGGTCCAACCAAGAAGTGCACCTTACTCCAGTGTTTCAAGGCACGGTATTTCCTCTGATCAGATGATGGGCTGCCTCTGCTGTTATGCAATTATTACTACTTGCATTTTACAGATGTGGGACTGTGAGGAAAAGTGTCATGCTCAGCTACAACCAATGAGTTAACCTCTCAAAAGGGTAGATCAAGTTTCATGAAAAGCCATGGTTTCTGTTGGCTTTAGCAGGTATTAATTGCTGCTATATGCTCAAGTATGTGACCTGCCCAGTTTTGGTTGGTGAGGACTTTCATATTTAATTCTCATTTTATAAAGATCGCCAAATTACATATTTATTGAAAAGACTACAATGCTTCCAAAGAACTGGTTATGCTAATAGGGCATATTTTAACAAGCCCTATTATCTGTAAGTATATACTTATTTACATGAAGGTTTTCAATAATATGCTTTAAAGAAATAGCCTCATTTGGAAATACATACTGCCATAATGTTTACTTGTACTTGTGCTGCCTGAAGAATAAGTAGTATTTACATGAAAATATGCACTTTAAGCGTTTTTGTGTAACTACTCTTTTTTTTTCATTTTTAAGATGTAAACATATTCCATGAAAGAAGGATAATATAGGTAGTAAATTTGGAGTTATGATCTTTTTTTAAAAAATATTGTCATGACTTTGTTTCAGTAGCATGTAAAGGATAAAGTTTACGCCTTAGATGGGCAAAGTAAACAAACTATGTGATGGAGGATGGGAAATTTCAGCAGGCTCAATGAACAAGATCAACAGCAAGGTTCAAAAGCCTGCTCTTGTTTTGTTTTTTTTTTAAACCCAGTATATTGGAGAAGTAATTGATTTGTTGCTTTGTTTTTACTTACTAAACAGAAGACTTGAGACACAGGGTGGTGTAGTGGAACATAGGACTATGTGTCTGGAGACCCTGGTTTGAATTTCCACTCAGGGTCTTTCCACACTGCCCCTATATCTCAGGATCTGATCCCAAATTATCTGTTTATCCCAGGTTATCTGCCAGTGGGGACTTATATATTCCAGTTTAAAGCAGATTATCTGGGATGAGATCCTGGAATAAAGGGCAATATGGAAGGGCCCTCAGTCATGGAAATCCATTGGGCAGGTGATATCCTCTTACCCTCCAGGAAAGACAAAGCCAGTCTGAAAAACTATTGCTACTAGGGCACCCTGTGATAGATTCTTCTTAGGGTCATAATAAGTAAGAAACAATTTGGAGGCACACAGCAAAGTAACCAGAAATATACATGTTTCTGTTGACTAACCAACAATCCATATTTGGGCATAATGGATTTTTTTCTATTACAGGACTAGGCAACTATATTTCTGAATTTTCATTTTTGAATCTCTCTTTCTCTTTCTTTATCTCTTTCACACACATTCTCTCACTCTCATGTTTATCACACTAGTTCTTTTTCTCAAAAAGAATGGCAATGGATCCTTTCATACTGTCACTATATTTGTGCTTCAAAGGTATTAGTTCTCATTTTTGCTTTTTCACACATGAAATCCAACATAAGAGTTATACTACCACGCTGTTTGGTCCACATTCTGATCCCTGATTTGTGGGTTTTTGTTTTTGTTTTGCTCAATTGTGTCATATGAGATTGTTATGAAATCAGTCTCATCACCCCACCCCCACCCCGATAGGCAAGACTAGCACACACTACATCTCTTCCAAAAACATTTTTCTGTGCTTTTCTTCCGAACTAACACTTGCCCAGTTCTGCTTTTGTATATTTTGCTCATTGAACTTTTATATATTTAGTTTTTAAAGTATCCCTGAATTCCACATTTTCTCTAGGCATTGATTGGATTACATTGGAATTGTTCTATTACACATGTTGTTGTGGTATGCCTTTAGGTTGTTTATGACTTGTGGTGACCTTAAGGCCAACCTATCAGGAGGTTTGCCTTTAACTTTCTCTGAGAACGAAAGAGTTTGACTTGTATAAGGTCACCCAGAGAGTTTCCATGGTTGTGGAGGGATTTAACTCGACTACTCAAAGCCACTATCTCCCTTTGAAAAATTGAAGATAATATGGGGGAAAGTATGCTGAAGAAGAGAGGGTGAACATATTAGTATTTCTTCTTGGGAACTCATGGGAATCCCCGTGCCCTCCTAGCCCAATCAAAGGAAGGATTTGATCTTGACTGGTATGTATTGTTGGATTTGAATCTCATTATTCTCACCATTCTTTCATCCTTCTATCAATCTCCGTTATAACTGAAAAATCATAATAGGACACCCTCACTCATCCAAAGCAACCTAGCAGAAAAGACTAGATCTTAGGCCTGTTTGATTACTCATAGCCAAATCAAGAGAGTCTAGTGAATTTCACCTTTGATTAGTAGATAAGTAAGATTCGTATATATCCTGGCAGGAAGCCAGATCTATGTTCCCATACTTGCATTTGCCAGGAAATGTCAAAGACCTAGTTACAAATACTATAAAAAGAGGAAAATGTCCAACAGATCAGGGTTGGTGAGAAAGCCAAGGACAGAAACCACTGTTCTACTCCTGGATGGACAATGAGTATTGTATTAAAAGCAATGTAAGAGTATCACTCTAACAAACTTAATTCTTCTATGCACTGCAATGTTTGTGAAATGTATTGAAATGCCTGAGAGGTATATGTGTCTTCAACAGAATAGTGTATGTAAATCACTGCTAGAGACGTATAAATTCCTATATAGGTGCCTGTTATAGATGCTTGGCTTCATCAACAGACGTAATGAATACATATGCCTAGATGAATAGCAGGAAGGATTATAAACCTGCCAGTTTATTCTTGCATCAAAAATATCCTTAAATTCTTGTTGTTGTTTATTTGTTCAGCCGCTTCCAACTCTTTGTAACCTCATGGACCAGCCAGAGCTCCCTGTCGGCCATCACCACCCCCAACTCCTTCAGAATCAAGCCAGTCACTTCAAGGATACTATCCATCCATCTTGCTCTTGGTCGGCCCCTCTTCCTTTTTCCTTCTATTTTCCCAAGCATTGTTGTCTTCTCTAAGCTTTCCTGTCTTCTCATTATGTGGCCAAAGTGCTTCATCTTTTCTTCTAATAGCCTTCCCTCCAATGAGCAGCTGGGCTTTATTTCCTGAAGTATGGCCTGGTTGGATCTTCTCGTGGTCCAAGGCACTCTCAGAATTTTCCTCCATCACCACAGTTCAAAAGCATCTATCTTCCTTTGCTCAGCCTTCCTTATGGTCCAGCTCTCACATCCATAGGTTACTATGGGGAATACCATTTGCTCCTTAAATTTTAGATCATAAGATACACTTAAAGGGAGTGTTGATGTCAGGTTGCCTGTTTGTACAACACTATTGGAGTGGGATAAAATATAATATGATCTAGAAAGATGCAAATTATATTCCTTACCCTACATTTCCTAAGGGACGGGCAAGGAGATATAAGTCTTTCAGATCTTTACACGGGTCAGTAAATGTTGATATCAAAATGTGTTTTGATTGATAGCTAGCTCTTTGCCAACTTTGATGGGAATGCTATTTCCAGCCTCCAGTGTAATTTGGCTCATATAGTGCAAATGTTAACATGTTTGATGGTTCACTCTTTGTAGGTTTCATATCTAAGTCTTATTTTCAAAGTCAAGAGTATGACTATTTCAGAGTATCAAGCTAACTAGGTGTCTGAAAACGATCTATTCTCTACAATGAAAAATGCCCATATATTTTATGATAAGACTTCCAAGCCCAGATATAAATATGAATGTTGCTTATGGAACACCCCAGGTCCACAGCCTTAAGTATGCTTTTGTCCTCTCCCATTGTTTCCCTTAATATTCTGGACAATCCAAGAGCAACAAGCAAGGGTAATCTGATAGTGCATTGTGGTACATTGCAACTATAACCATGGTTACCATATGCAGTCACCGTGTCTATCCAGATGTACTGAAGGCTTACCACAAGGAGATGTTCTCTTGCAAGGTTTGATTTGTCATCCACAGCTGCACGTGGTTTGCTTCACAGCTTCAACTTTCTTTTGAAACTCTGAATCCTTTATATGTTCTTATCAATTCATCTATATATGACAATGTACCATGGACATCTGTCTTCTGGAAGCTGTGTGGTTGCATCCTGTTGTCCTGTATTTTGGAAACAGTCCTCAGTAGAGGTTGCGGTTCATTCAGTCAGAAAAGTAGCATAAGCTCTTTGGAATAGATCTCCCCTGGAGGAGATTAGGCAAGTAGCTACATGGGCTTCTACGTTTAGATTGATCAGACATTTAAGACTGACAATTACTTCCACCCTGATGCTTCATTTGAGAGTAGGATATTGCAAGATATGTTGGTGCCTTGAGGATATTGGCGCACATGGACAATGATTTCATACACCCCAAAGCGTACCATATCAGAATGTCCTCCAGGAGTCCTGCAAAAAACAAAACAAAAACCCAAAATTTCTAATAAAACCCAAATTCTCCCCAATTTTGCTGTACAGGTGGGTCTATATTTTTGTGTAAGTAAATATATAAATACAGTAGTGCTTCTTCCATACATATGAAAGACAAAAAAATCATAGGAATTAGGTTCCTGGTATACTAGTCTATTCTTTCTGAACATTTTCTGCCATGAAGATTGTTAAATTTATTCTGGCTGATTATTTACTAATGTTTTCCTTCTGGAACATAGCCATACAGCCCGGAAAACTCACAGCAACCCAGTGAGTCCGGCCATGAAAACCTTTAACACCACAATGTTTTCCTTAATGAGTCGCCGCAATGAGTCGCCCTAACACCGCAATGAGTCGCCCTTGGGCTGAGAATTGCGGTATATAAGCGCAGTAAATAAATAAATAAATAAATAATTAGATTTTCTTAACAAATCTGTTATAAGGGTTTCTTCTGTTTTTCTGGTGTCTGTCTTGGAGAAAATTATCCTTTCCTACTGGTCCAAAGGATGGGATGATCCAATGGACAATGCTAGTGGAAGTTCTTAAATGGTTTTATCCACCAAGAAACTTATAACAACTTTGAAAAGGTATTTTAATCCACAAAGAATAATAGTTAGTTGATAAATAGAATTGTTTGAATAATGAGAGACAATAGGCACATTTCCTTTTATTATTTCTGAGCAAACAATTCATGTTGCATTAACTTGTTAAGTTGTTGAACTTTATGCTGTGGATATTGGTCATAATCGTTCCAACTTTTGAGGTCAATGGGACTTTCATTAAAATACATTTACTTGCAAAATAGTTTTGCTAGGAACTTTTTCCCAACTGCATCTTTTTCAGTCCACTTACAATTAAAGTGCCAATTCATGAGCTATATTCTCCACCTGCATACTGCTTTCCCCCCCAAAGGTAAGTTATATAGCTTATTTTAAATGTTACAGTTTCTGTTACAAATCTTAAATATTTCATTCTATAGGCCTCCGGAAGGTGGGAGGAAAGGATTGCGAGAGAGAGTGAGAAATAATATTAATTCCTTCATTTACTTGTCTAACTGTTTTTGAAGGAATGAATGTGAATTAACAGTGTTATCCTTTCCTAACAATTATCTTTCGCTACTCTAGCTAGTTTAGTTCTACAAGACAGTGCCATTGACAAGGAGGAAAAAAGAACCTTCTCAGATTTTTTCAGCTCAGCGGTGGTAATGTTGCACTGAACGCTAATGAGGGAACCCCCACTGCTTTGCCTGCTTTGTGACTTTTCTATTTCATAATTATTTTTAAAACACAAAACGACATGAGGTAGCCCAGTCATGCCTCTGCTACTTCCTCGCACCTCGACGCCTGCTACAGATGGCAATTTGTTCTTGTAACATATATGTCTCTCTGACCATTTTCATCTAATTTGTATGGGTTCTACCATTTCCTTTCTCTCTTTCAGGGGCCTTGCTGTGTGTGAGCTAGGGGGTGGCATGACATGCTTGGCTGGGCTTATGGTAGGTCTTTTCTCAATTCCAATTCTATTCAGAGGGAGGAACAAAAGGGAAAAAATGTTCCAGTGCCTCCAACTGCTGGGTCAGAGAACTGTCAACAGAATCAGCTGCGGTCAAGCTGCAGAGTCTTGAGAGACCTTCTAGATTGACTTGCTTTCGTATCATATTGATTTTATGGTTGCCTCGATGAGCAGAAACATTTTACCTCAGTGTAGTCAATATCTCTTGTTGTGACATCCCAGGCCACGTACGGTCTGTCTTTCATTGCCATCGCTGAAGCCCCCCACCCCACCCCTTTCAGATTATAGTCCCACATTTGCTAAGATACAGGAATAGCCTGGCGAATCACAGTTGGAGCACCATGATATAGCTGCTAATGTTTTGCCTGCATTATTACACCAACAAACATGATCCAGAGCTCTCGGTAATTAGATTCTTTTGAATTAGATTGGCCATTCAGGAGCGTCATTCACCATTCTCTGGGTTCTGAGTCATGTATTCAGGAGATATTATGTAGCAGTGCAGTGCATTAGACAAGTTTTTATGTCTCTACAAATAAAAGCATATTGTTACACTGATTGGCATTTGACAAACCTGTCGTTCTCGCACAATGTGTCGAGGTTACAGCCCAATGTGCGAGCATGTCAAAGCTCACAAAAAAATTACCCTTACAAAGCCATCTGCCTGCAATGCAAAGTTATATGAAGGGCATCAGGCAGTCAGACAGAAGCAGGCTGAAAGGCAGAGTGACAGCCTCGTATGATGGCTCTACTAGATAAACAGAAGCCCGCAAATGAAAGCCTCTCAGAATACCATCATCCGCTGTCACAATGCAATTACGGAACAGAATGATAGCAAGATAGAGGCTCCCGCAAATGGAATGATAAAAGTATTGACTGATTTGATTGAATGATTAAAATAATGCAGACATAAAATGAAAAAAGATTGAAGACTGTTACAGAGAAATAGGTGAGGAAGCATGATACTGAAGGCTTGTCACTCCTGTCTTCACTTCCACACAGACAAGCATATTTGCTCATTGTTTGCTGTGCTCTTTCTCTCTCCCCCCCTCTTTCCAGGTTGCTATTTCTGCAGATGTCAAAGAAGTTCTGTTAACTGATGGAAATGAAAAGGCCATCAAAAGTATCCTTATTCAGATAGAAAACCGGTTTGTTGGGCTCTTTCCTTTTTGACTGGCTGAGCAACAATTGATATTAAAAAGACAGCAAGGGTTATGTATAATAATAATGTATGTGAGTGTGTGTTCGTGTACACATACATACATATCTAGTATAAGTAATTAAATATATAACATTCTTGAGCAGATCGATAGTGCTACCTAGAATAAATTCACATTCTGTTTTGCACCAAAAAAATGAAAGGTGTTTAGAAAGAAAGAACCAAGCAACCTGATTAAAAATGCTGGTACCATGTTATTAATATATTGTCTTATACTAATTACTTTAAAACAAAACAAAACCCAAGGAATAAATTTCACTCTGATTTCTTCTTTTTTTTCCCTTCCAGCCTGTTTTATAGTGGATTTGTTTTCAAATGCAACCTTTTGCTATTACTGTGGTATTTGTGCATCTATTTATCTAATTTTACATTGGGTTGATGTTTTGATGATGTTAATATACTGCTGCTATTGCTGCAAACCTTTCCCTAGCTTTCTACAAGATGTGTCAGCACTCTGTTAATTACCAGTTGTCCAATATTTCTTTTACAGCAGGGTTTTAAAATATCTCTTTCCCATTTGGGCCAGTCATTTTATTCTTGGATTGGAACACATTCTTATTTAATCTAAGTAGTACATATGCAGGTAAACAAATTTGCACTTTAATTTGCCTGCAAATTATTCCCTCTCCGTTAACTAAGTGTCTAAACTGCTTAAAGCGCTGAGTCCCATAGTGAATATTAATGGCTGTTAGAAATTGAGAGTGAAATGCAGAAGATATCTGTTTGCTTTGGGTTCTTGATGATGATGGCATTTGCATGTTAAGGGTCTTCACTTGGTAAAGGGTGTAGTTTAAATGTCAAAGGTATTGTGTTAGAGCCATTATAGAGTAGTTTCTTGTTCTCGGTTTCACTGTGAGTTTATAACACAAGGGAAAGTGCTTACAACGTGCATTTAAGGTAACATTGATAAGCAAACTTTGAAAATACTTGTGCCCATTCTTGGAGACCATACTTTATTTAGCTCTATTTAAAAGACTTGAAGAATATAGGGATAATCACAGTCTTAATTGTATCAGAAATTGGAAGGAGAAGAGTATTTTTAGTTTTGTATCATTGATTTTCACTCCATCTGTAAATGCATCATGATTTTTGTTCAGTAATACTGCAGTGATCATACCTTGGTTTGTGCTTTGCCTGCTAACAAAACCGTGAAGGAAACAAAAATGAAGGAAAAGTAAAGACTATGGGTTTAGAAATTAATAAAATTAAATTGGGAAGTATAATAACCAAATGAAGTTAATTGCACTGCCATCCTGATAAAATTTACTTAGGAGTGAGCCTGATTGATCTCAAAAGGGCTTGCTTCTGAATAAACCCATGTAGGATTTTGTCACTAACTTGGATTCTATGTTAGTTCCTTTTTTGTTACTGGTAATTGTTTCTCGGATGTCCATTCAAAAGTTTAATTTCAGTTCTGATACATTCTCCATTAACATAGGTAACTCTTCAATGATTTGATTGATAATTTATTAGATTACATTTTGGAATGTTTTGGCAAAAGCTATAAATAGTGCCAAGAGTCATTATCAATCTAGCAGAGGCATATTTCTGCCCATTTTAACCCACGAGGAAAGCCAAACCTATATCAGAGTTCATATATATGTGACAATGTTATCCACTTCATAATTTACAGGGGAGAAAATCTTCTGAAATAAGATGAATATATTACTTGTTAATTAATTTTTTAATAGTTTATCAAGCTTTCAAAAATATACACTACATTCCTCTGGTGACTTTCAGTGCTATTGTCAGTATTCTTAAACAATATGTGAACCTTGAAACCTCCCTAAGTGAATGTGTTTCAAATATTGCTGCCTCAGAGTCTATATTTTAGGATTACTAATCGTTCAGTATTGTGCTCTGTTCTTGAGCAGTTGAAATGAAATACACTTCTTATTTGAAATTAGTGTTTATTTTTCTCCTTTAAATTTCTTTGGAGTTCTAAATTAAATGCCAGTTATTCTATGATATCAAAAAATATCTTTTCTAAAAATTCAAAATGATGTCAACCCAGGAGGAGAGAAAATCACAGTCAGAAGCCAGGAAATCACTAAGCAAGCCTGCTAATTATTCTTAATGGGCAAGATGAACACATTAAGAAACAAATGAATACATCAGTGAAATGTAATTGAAAATCGACCTGGCAATAGTGCATTGCATCTGAGCATCCAATTTTATATTATCATCATTGTCATACTGCATTGTTGCTATTATTTGCATTATTCACAGAGGATACTGAGGGTGCGGATTTTATTTTTTTAAATTTTTTAAAAGACAACCACTGAGTATATTGTGTTCTATCATTCTTTGAAGGGTTTATTGTCAATTCATTTGTGAGAGTAACTATTTTATTTACTATGGGGATGTCAAAGCATGTGCTTTCTTAATACAAAATCAATATATATCAGGTATGTGAATACACAATCCTGGTTTGTATTAACTCTTTAAGGCTTTAAATAGACTTTCTCTGTATATTGAGTAAGATCTGGGGAATATTCTGACATTCTTGAATAGAGAGGCTTGACATCCAAACATAAATGCATTCTGTTTAAAACTCTGTCTGTGCTGTATAATCACCTGTAGAACAGTAGTATAAGTTGATATAAATACATGGCTGTACCCTCTTATTAATACTGACGTTAGATGATGGCTTATTAACTTTCTAAGCAGGGTAGTAGTAGTAGTAGTAGTAGTAGTAGTAGTAGTAGTAACAATCAGAAGAAGAATAGCCATCTTCCATCTTTCAAAACCATCTTTATGTTTTTGAATTTGTTCTATATAGACTTAAAATTGTCTGGCTAGTAATCCAGCAATGCATACTCTTTGACTAGTAAGTCAGATAATGTGCCAAGGGGAAAAGTAAAATATGTGACATTTAGTAAATAGTAATGAACTTGCATACCAGGCTTAACTTGAAATACATATTGAAGAGATATAAAAAGGAATATTGAAGAATATCTAAGAAAGGACGTATTGTCATGGATAGTTTGATCCTAGAAGCTATAGTTTATAGATTTCTACATTATGTAATATATATTGGGTACAAACCCGCTGTCACCATGTAGAACTTCTGATGACTTCAATAACAATGGGATGTGAGTATGCCTATAACAATAAAGGATTGAGCTTCTGATTTATATACAGTTGAATCAAAATTATTGAAAGGAAATTTCTTTCAAAAGAAAATGATTTGGCCTCACTTTGAGTGTATTTGCTCAATTAACCAAATCGTCCACAGTCACTTGCAAGATTAATCATGCCATTTCTTCTTCTTTTTTCTGTGGGTCAGATTACGACATTTTTCAAAATGATGACATGGAAACATTTCAAAAGACAGATCAAAAGCACAGAAAATGAGATCATCATCACAACGTTATTTGAACTTTTTTGTGATCTTCTATTGCAAAGGCAAACAGGTCTGCTGCATTCATACATTTCATAAGCATGGCCTCCTTAGATGCATTGGCTGTGATACATTACAGAATTCTTTCTCTTTGTATACTCAGTTTCCACGATTTTATGGCCACTAAGTAGAACATGGCAGTAGAACAAACACAAGAATGTTGGGATCACCTATGCATTCCCAGCCAGTATTGGTGAATCTATGTTTTCCCACCTCGCTCTCTCATAGTAGCTATTTTAATAAATATTTTTAAATTAAGAAATATGCAATTTTTTCAAAGTTATAATAAATAGATGACACCAAAATTTAATGCATCCAAAGTTTAAGGCTAACAATTTCAATTTTTATTCAGGTTGGGGAGAAAAATTATCAGTAAGTGGATATGTACACATTTCAATAACCTGGCTGAAGGGAGAGGTTCAATGCACATTTGAATGCTCATTTGCATGTGGATACTGCTTAGCATGCATTGTCAGTGGGATACATATTTTGATCTACATTTTTCAACATATGCTGGTCCTAATGTTCTTCGGTGTAAACATTTTTTCCATTTGGGGAAAAACTAAAAATGATGTGTGTACAACCATTGAATGATAAAGCAGATTCTTCAACTGTTAATGATCCAAGACCAAATGAGGTGCAAACGTAACAAAATGGAACAATTTACATACTTATATATATTTTGAAAGCACTTAAAATATTGTCCCTAAATTTAAGAAAATTGAAATAACTGAAATTGCACTGTGAAGTAAATGATTTATCAGTGACTCAGAGTGAATTTTGACAACAATGTATACTGAGATTTATAAAGTTTAAAGTACTCACATTGAACATATATATATATACATACTTGTATTCAGCTACATGTAAAATCAGTATTATTTCCTGTAATGTTTAAAGAAGATATTTCAAACTTAAATGTATTAGATAAATGAAAATAGCCATTCTTTTTAGTTCTTGTGACAATAACAGCAGTTTAAGCATGCAAAAAAAAAAAACAAACTTTTCCATCCGTTACTCATTAATGAGTTGCTCTTGCCTTGAGGAATTGAATAGGCCTCACAAGGAGAAAGGGCCCCCACATACATTTCTTTATTAATTCAGATCCGGAAACAATTGCCCTTCGGAAAAAAAAGTCAGGAATCAAGCACAGCTCCCTGGAAAATGTTTCACTAATAACATAGTGCAACGCAACATAAAAATGATTATATTATATTTGGATTTGATTGTATAGCAATATATACCAGTTATAATGCCTACCTACATCAAGCATGTCCAAATATGCAGCAGTGGAATACTATGTAGCATATAATTTTTAAATTATCTGAAATAAAAAATGCATATAGTGCGAAAACAATTGAAAATAACTGAAAATAGTTTATTTCTATTGTAAAAGTTTATTTTTATTTTGGTTGATTTTAACATGTTGTGATATCTAGCACATTTCAATAATGTAACAATTAAACATGCCCTTGATTAAGAGGCAGATTCTTTAATTTTTTTCCATTTTTAACATAATACTTATAAATGCATCAGGTGGCAAACCGAAGAGGGATAATAACAAATACATACATGCATGGCTTCTAAAAACAAAGTGAGCTTTTGATTATTATTTTCCTCTCACACACCAACCAATTTATATTGATATCCCTCCTTCCCAAAAATTGGAAATTTATTTGTCAAAATATGTCTTGTAACAACCTCCTCCTAAGTAGATTGCAATGGTAACACTAAACAAAACTATTAAAAACTATTTCACATGTTTTTTGTTCTTGGAGAAGAAACGTTCAAAGTGCACCAAGAAAACTTTTTCATCAAGAAAAAAACATGATGAGAACTTGTAACAATTGAAAAAAATGAAGTTATTATGCTATCCTTTCCGCAAAATGTAATGAGTTTTGGGCAGAATCCTGTATCAGCTTCCTGGGATGTATCTACACAGTAGAACTAATGCAATTTGATACCACTTTAACTGCCATGACTTATTACTATGAAATCCTGGGAGTTGTAGTTTGGTGAGGAACTAGCAGAGAAGGTTAAAGGTCTTTTAAAACTACACATCACATGATTCCATAGCACTGAGCTATATCAGTTAAAGTGGTGCCAAACTGCATTATTTCTACAGTGTAGACATACCCTTTGTTAAGTATACCAAGTATACTGAGAATAACTTAAGTATGCTTAACTAAGTAACCTCTCCTGATCTGATCCCTCCTCACCTCCAAATCTGACGGAAACATTTAGCAGGGCAGAATTCCTTGGGACTACCCTCAGATTTCACAGAGCTGTTCAGATGTTTGCAATGGGACTGCACCACAGGAGAAAAGGGATAGTGGCACTAGCAGCAGACCAATTTGCTTTGTAGTGGTCTTGTTGTCCACACTAGCCCATTTAACATATGAATCAGAAGTCCTTGGATGTTGTCTGGACAGACAGGCTCGACTTTTGGTCCATGTCAGGGTTTGGGGCGAGTGTAGATAAACCCTATCTAGCGGCCATGAATATGAAACAGTAAGTCCATGTAACAGCATTGTATTCATGTCTGGTACTTTAGTCATGATAGGGATGCTATTGCTAGAAAGGTAACTCTCCCATTCCAAACCTATACTGAGCACCAGCTGTATGGGGAAAAGGAGATCTACCCCAGAGTGTAGCGAATGATGCTTCAATTAAATGGGGAGACATTACTTAGTTAAGTAGCCTTAACTTACAATACATAGTCATGTATAAGTTGAGGGCAGGTTTTGGGACCAAAATTATGAATTTTGATATGATCCACAGATCAGTTGATGATGATGATGTAGAGAAAGAAGAGCACCAATACGGACTCGGGACCAGCTGTCCCCTGGCCACTGCTGCCATTTCCCCACCCAGGCATTCAAAAAGGCCAGAAACGGTGCTACAGCGGAGGCAGTAGTGGAGAGTTGTGCTTCTTGTAGATTCTCTTGGAACAGACTAAGCTTTTACCTTTTACCACTCTACTAAGAAGAGAGGATGGTTCCTTTTCAATAAGAATGAATTTACAATATATACAATATGTCGACTGAGTTTTTTTGGATTTTTTATACACGATATAGAGTAACTAAGGCGTTGTTACAGGATTCCAGCCTATATCATTGCTTATAACACATCATTTCAAGCTTAGACTCTTCTTTCCATGAATGTGTATTTGTTTTATTTATACCCTGCCTTTCCTCCAAAATGTTTATATTCCTACCTATTGTTCTCCTACCAACAAGTGTGTGTGGTAGGTCAGACTGAGAGAGAATGATGAACCCAATAGAATTAAAAACAATCTCTTATCTAGGCAGTTGTCCTGGTCTTGACCTGCCTTGTTTTACCAAGGGTGCTGGATTATATACCTTCAAACCATAGGTCTGGTAGATTTAATTGATCAAGGTAAGAACTATAGTAAAATATATGTGATTTGCGTAAAATTAATAATAATAACAACAATAACCAATTTATATAATCAAGTAAAAATGTATGTGTTTATGTGTAGATAGGTGTTTCATAATAACAACAGTTTTCTAGATACATGTAAAATTGAAGATTCTATTATGTTTCCAATGAAGAATAGTTGAAGTGCAATTGGTTATTTATTTGAATGGATGATTCTTAACAGATGTGTTATAGATGTAAGTGATATTATCAGAAGAAACGAAAAGGCGGGAGTGTTCAGAGCCAAAGCAGTTTCAAGCTGGTAAGATACTCTGTGTTTTTTGCATATTGTTTTTAAATAAAATTAACCTTCTTAAGGAAAAGTAGTATGAGAACAAAGAAAAGAGTCACCTGGAGCCAGTTCAATGTATCCTGCATCTTAGAATCGTTACAGCAGATACATCACTTTAAAGTTGTTTTCTGCTTGAGAACAGGAGGGTAAAACTCCAGTCTCTAGTCAGGAGTGTGTTTAGTCAGTCTACATTTCCAAGCTATTGAACCTGATGCTTGCTTGTACATATTCAGTTCAATGAGCCAGCTCTCATCAGAGGAATTTTAATTATGTATTGTCAAAGGCTTTCGTGGCCAGAATCACTGGGTTGTTGTAGGTTTTTTTGGGCTGTATGGCCATGTTCTAGAAGCATTCTCTCCTGACCTTTCACCTGCATCTATGGTAGGCATCCTCAGAGGCTGTGGGGTCTGTCGGAAACTAGGAAATTTGGGTTTATATATCAGTGGAAGTTCCAGGGTGGGAGAAAGAACTCTTGTCTCTTGGAACTAGGTGTGAATGTTTCAATTGGCCACCTTGATTAGCATTTGATGGTCTGGCAGTTTTTTGGCGTGGCTTGTTAGTGTATGGGGAAATCTTTTGGTGAGGGGTGATTAGCTGTCCCTGATTGTTTCCTCTCTGGAGTTCCCTGTGTTTGAGTGTTGTTTTACTGTTATAATTTTAGACTTTTTAAAATACTGATAGCCAGATTTTGTTCATTTTTATGGTTCCTTCCTGTAGTCTGGCATGGTGGTTGTTGGAGTGGTCCAACATTTTTATGTTCCAAAATTATAACAGTGAAACAACACTCAAACACAGGGGAGCTCCAGAGAGGAAACAATCAGGAGAGAATGCTTCAAGAACATGGCCATACAGCCTGGAAAACCTACAACAACCCAATTTTAATTATTCTTCTGCCTTATCCAAATGAGATTGCTCAAAAGTGACAGCTATATTGGTGACTGGTGGAGATATTGAAAAAAGGAATACCGAGTCAGTATCCAAGAAGAAAAGTTTTCATAACTGATGCCAGTTTGCGGTATTCGGGAGCACACTGCAATGGGTAGATAGTGCAGAGCCTGTGGTCTACCACAAGCGGATGCACAGGGTGAACTGGCTGGGCAATGTATGCGCCATTTCTCAATCTGCAGAAAGAGGTTCAAGTCAAACTTGTGTTAATCTGGATTAACACCATGAACACCAATGCCCACATAAACAGAGACGTATGAACACATACACTGAAGTTCGAGACATCTCATCCCTTCAACCAATTGGGGAGGAGAGTATCCAGTGGTCCAACCAAACTGTTACGCCCATTGGCTAAGCGGACAGAACCTGGATCCAGTAGAGTGGGCTCTGAATTTCCTAGTATTTGAAATTATGGTGAAAAGGTTCAGAATTCAATCTTTTTGCCCCACAAAAGAATCGCAGACTTGGTTTATTTCCAGATTTTGGATGGAGGAGGCATTGGTTTTCGATGCAGTCACCACTTTGGTGGTGATATTGTATTAAGAAAAATCAAGATGGAGGGAGTAACTTTGATAGCACCCATGTTGCCTTGTCAACTTTGATTTTCAAAGACAGTTAACATTCAGGTTTAGGAGAGTTGGCCTCTATCACCTGCTACATCAAAGAAGCCCATTACATCCTGACCTAAGCTGGTTAAAATGTATATGCTTGGAGGCTGAACAAGAAAGGTTGATAGCTAAAGGTTCTGTGAAGATGCCATTCAGACCATCCTAGCTGTCAGAAGATCTAGTGGAAAAGATTTAGTTTTGAAAACGGTCATCATCTTTATTTGCAAGAATATATATATGTTTGCTGCTAAATGGTTGGTTAGAATGAACTCTTTTTTGTTTAAAGCAACTAATCCCTTTTTTGCAATATGTCTACTAAATATTAATATAATGACACATATTTAAATGATCCAAACATCTAACCTAATGCCTTTCTCAAGAACCAGAGCACCCCAAATTTCTGTGGATTGTAAGCAGGCCTCTGGTTTCCCCCTCCCCATGTACCCGTATATTGTGGGATTTAAATTGCTGTATAGTGAGTGCAGGACCGCATTTCTTGTCAGGATTTCAAACCTGGTCTTTTAGATATCAATCAAAAGCACATTTTCAATGATGTCCTCATTTACATTTATCTAATGTTTAAGGTCATTTGTGATCATTTGAGTGTATTTCAGCATATGGAATCAGTGAATAATAGATTTCAGCTCCATGCTGTGAAGAAAGATTGTGTTTTTACAAGACATAATGTTGTTTACTGGGTGTTAATAATCACTAATTAATAAACATATCTAGGTTTCTGAAATGTTGCATTTTCTGCTATGAAAATGTCAAGTGTTTAACTTAGTGAGTACAATAGCATTTTATTACTTTTCCACATAAAATAATTTAATTACAGAAATAAATGCAATGTTGCAAATGTAATATGAGGCACACTAGGCCTACATGTTTTTGTCATCTATAAAGTTCGACTCCAACCTTTTTTTATTTCAAAAGGGCCTATTAATAGCATCATACTATGATAGAGTATATGTACCTTCATAGTACAGAAATATTCAGTTTTGAATAACATTTTTCTTTTACTTTTTTTCTACAATTACTATATTTTTATCTTCCTTTTTGTATCACTAGGGAGCCCCCGGTGGCACAGTGGGTTAAACCACTGAGCTGCTGAACTTGTTGACCAAAAGGTTTCAGGTTCAAATCCAGGTAACGGGTTGAGGTCCCGCTGGTAGTCCCAGTTTCTGCCACCCTAGAAGTTCGAAAACATGCAAATAGGTACTGCTCTGGCAGGAGGGTAACAGCATTCCATTTAGTCATGCTGGCCACATGACCTTGGAGGTGTCTACAGACAACACCAACTCGGTATATAAAACCTCGAAATAAATAATAAATAAACAACTCTTCAGCTTAGAAATGGAGATGAGTACCGACCCCCAAAGTCAGACACAACTGGACTCAATGGAAGGGGAAAACCTTTAACTTTACCTTACCTTTTGTATCACTATTGACTGTCTCTATCTGATACCTACAGGTAGTCTCCACTGAAATTAACAGGACACATCTATATACATAAAAATGTAATGCTCGTTTGTGGGATTAACAGAACTCAAAAACCACTGGACGAATTGCCACCAAATTTGGACACAAGACACCTACTAACCCAAGGAGTGACCTTCACTCAAAATTTGATTTTGTCATTTGAGAGTTGTAGTTGCTGGGATTTATAGTTCACCTACAATCAAAGACTCTACCAATGATGGAATTGAACCAAAAGTGGCACACAGGACTCCCATGACCAACAGAAAACACTAGAAGGATTTGGTGGGTATTGACATTGATTTTGGGAGTTGTAGTTCACCTACATCCAGAGAGCACTGTGGACTTAAAAACAATGATGGATCTGGACCAAACTTGGCACAAATACTCAATATGCCCAAATATGAACACAGATGGAGTTTGGGGAAAATAGATCTTGACATTTGGGAGTTGTCGTTACTGGGATTTACAGTTCACCTACAATCAAAGAGCATTCTGAACCCTACAAACGATGGAATAGGGACAGACTTCCCACACTGAACCCCCATGACCACCAGAAAATACTTAAGGCCATCTAGTCCAACTCCCTTCACCAGGGCAAGAAAACGTAATCAAAACCCTCCTGACAAAGAGCCATCCAGCCATAGATATAGACAGATATATATGATTCACACAGAGAGATATATAGTATCATAGATTTGAAAGGGGCCCCTAAAGAAGGTTAAATATATGTTGCCTGTTCCAGAGTAGGCAAACCAGACAATCTCCTCATAAATACTGACAAAGAAACAAGAAATTCTGTTTATCTACAAGCATAAAGAAATTACATATATTAGAAACCAACAGTTTCCTATTACTTTATTTTCCAGATCACCAGACTGGGTCACAGCAACACATGGCAGGGGACAGCTAGTTTATAATAAAATATATTGGTCCTGTTCTGCACACACCTTGACAAAATCAATGAAAATGAAATGAAAACCAGGCGTTGGCTATATTTTAAAATCATCACTGTATGTACCTACATCTTGTAAAAACATGCTGCTGAATTAAGCTCTTTGCCCAGTGTAGTCTAGTTGTTGAACAAGTCATTGGTTCAGATCATCTATGAGTAAAACCTATAGAAAATTGCTATAGTCACTGTTGCCTGCTGCCCAATCAAATGGAAAGTAGTTTGGTGCATTGCTGCATGTTTGAGACCACTTTGATTTTTCAGCACCAAATGTAGAAATAATTGGGACTTTCCTGAATGTAAGAGATATGGAACAAAGGAGACAGCTTTATTAGACAGAATGTCAGGCTTCTTCACCACAAGAGCGAGTAAGCTATATTGATTTATGGTTTTAACTTCTTCAGTTTACATTGTCTCAGCTATGGTAAACTGTGGCTCTGAGTTTGCAAGACCTGAGCAAGGATGTGGATTAGAGCTCATGGACATCTGTCATGTATAGAGGCACACCAAACCAAAGCCAACTTGACAGCAGATAAGCATCACAAGAACAATAAAGTTTATTGAATATAAAAATTGCAGAACGATTCTCCTCTGTGCAAATGTACAGGGTGAGGCAGCATAACTTCCTTTTTTCAAAACTTAATAAAACCCGTTGTATGAATCAGAAATTTTTATTTTTTTAATAATGTAGGGGCATACCTAAAGTTTTGTTTTACATAGTTTTGAAGATCAAATTAGGTAGGTGACGTCCCCCATTCTCCATATACTGAGTAAACCGATTTCTGGCATAGCAGGCGTTACGTTGGCAATTTCTTCCTGGTTGTTGGTCTTCAAATCTTGTAGGGCTCTTGGACGGTTCACATAAACACAGGATTTCAAAAAACCCTATAGAAAAAAATCACAAGGGACCAAATCTGGAGAGCAGGCCGGCCACTCCAAATCCACTAGAGTAGGCCTCAATGGTGAAAGCACGCTCCTCACTGTTCCAA